AAAGGGGTGGAGTCTGGCCGCGCGAGACTAGGACCCTGTAGGATAGTGAAACACCTTCTCTATGTACATGTACATGTATTAAAAAACTGATTCATTCGCTATTCATTAAAACTTTTCTTTAATACAAACTTCCATGCAATATTGTTATACTAAGTCCTGCTATACCTGTACATAACTACTATTAATAAATAATAAACTAACCTCAGCGTGGAGGCAGTCCAGCTGCAGAGAGAGACAGAAGTGATGGAGTGTATTAAACATGTCATTGAGATTACCATCAACTGAACAAAGTCTGGACTGAACCAACTGGAGGAGGTAGAGCCTCTGCTACTCCGTCACTAGGACAGGGGAACCTAGCCGTTACCATGACAACAATGAGCATAAGGTACATTGTCATGGCAACATACCAGAGAGGGCATGGCCGACTAATATCTTTAAATCAAGTACCCTCCAGGGAAGAGATAGGTCGTCCCCTACTAGTGTCAGGGTCACTTCAAACTCATAAGGAACCGTTAAAATGACACGCCCATTTCCTGTGGGTGTGGTCAATAATTAATACATGTACATGTAGTCCAGCCTGTCTGGAGGTGTGTGTGTGTGTATAAGTAATGTAATACCTGAGGACTGAGATATCTGCTTGAGGTGAAGCTGAGGGCAGATATCAAGGGACTCCACTAACTAATCTTCAACCATACCGCTGTCCGCCATCTTGAAATATGCAACCTAATATTACGTCATCTAAAAGTGACGTCATGTGTAAGTGACGCCATGTGCCACGCCCCCATACTGATTAATAACCAGCATTCCATTCATTATAAACTCCATTCAGAAATGTCTACCAAAAGCAGAGCCAAAAGCAGTAGCAGCAGCTCTCCTTCTCCTTCTCTCTTCACTTCTCCATTGACTATTAGTAATAATCCATTAACTGTAGTCTGTAGTATATTTATATATTATGTTTTATAGATCAACTTATTGAAGTACTTGATCTGTTAAAGAGATGTGGTTTCCCTCAGACAAGATGGCATGAGCTGGGACTGAGACTAGGACTACACAAGAACACACTGGACGCCATTAAAAGAGACAATGACACAACTAATGATTGCTTGATAGAGACTCTCTCCAAGTGGTTACGTAAAGCTGATAATGTTGACAGTAAAGGAGGAGCTACCTTTGACTCACTGTCAGATGCTCTTAAATCTATGAATGAGAATGCTGCAGCTGAAAAGTTAGATCAAGAGAGTAAGTTAATAGACCTCTTCAGGTGAGATTGACGGTGGCCTATGAATATCATTACTGTTTATTACGGTATCCACCTATGGTGATGATTGGCCGCCATTTTGGATGGCAAGATTCAATGGAGGATGAATGGAGAAAAATCAAAACTGATTTTTTTCGCTGGCATGGAGCTTTTTCAAGCTACAAAAGCTGGTTGGAGGAAAGAATGGTCGCTGCTAAGCATCTCCTAAAAGGGATTTGGTGCAATATGAAGCATATTCTTTAATAGAGCTTGCTTTCTGCATTAGCCCATTCATACTCCATAGAAAGTTGCCGTCCACGAAAATTATTTCAGAGTCAGACAGGCTCAGTCATGCCTCTTGCCGTATATCATTCTTTGACGTAATTCATTCTCACCCAAAGAGGTCTATATCACTGATTGTATTAGTATTGACTCTGTGTAGAATTGTATAAACAATTGAGGAATTGTTACTTCTTATTTTTATAATGTATTGTATGTATTACCGTTAAAATTTCTTCGTAGATTATTATTGTTATTATTATTATTGACAGGAAGAGTAGGCATAAGCTAGCTGGGTATATTCTACTTATTTGGCTATACTTAGCCTGTAACAGTATTTTGGCATTGAATATCAGGCTACGTTCACATGGCAGCAAAAACTATGCAATCTGTATCGTTTTGTTCTGTTTTATGTTTCTGTTTACACCACATGATAAGATTCTATAGAAATAAAAACATGGTTTAAAGTGTATTGTTTTACTGCACTCGACTTGTATCATTGTGTGATCCAAGTGGAGTGAAAAGCGCAATAAAAGTGATGCGGTTTGCATTGTTGTGTAAACGTATCCTCGTATTCAACTTGTCCCTAGTCATACATTTATGTCCATTCATGAAAAATGGCAGTCAATATTTCTAGCATAGAATAAACCCATTACCAGTTCTGGAGAGTAACATAAATGTAAATTGTGGATAGGTCCTCTAAAACATTGGAATTGTGCCATGTCATATTTATGTATAAATGCAGCTGTTATTTATGTATAAATGCAGCTGTTATAAAATTCATTAATACACTAAGGAATATGAATAATTTATAATATTATTTTTGCTGCCTTGGTAGATGATTTTATTATTATATTTTCAGATGAATTGCTTCCTAAATCTGATGATACATACTCTACTGTTAGTTCAACTGTACCTCAACCATCAAGTATGATCATATTAATAATGGTTATTATTACTTTATATTATTGTAGGTTGGCGTAAAATCAGATCACTGGCTTATATTTTTATCACTTTTTTGTTTTTCTCTTTTATTATTCATATTTTTTATTATTTTTCTATTTTTATTTTTTTATTAGACTTATGCATATTTTTCATTACATTAGTATTTTATTACACAATATTGTCTACTAAAACAAGTAAACCAGACTCATCTATTGCTCCAACATCATCAGGTAACTATTTATTATCATTATGGTTGTAATTTAGTTTTTTATTATCTAAATAGCTCGTCCGTTCTTCTTCAATGCTGCACACAAAACAATTTTTAATGAGATCAGAGGTAGCTTTGGTATCCTTCGTGTCCAAATAGTTCCATTGATATCTCAATCAATTCCATCAGTTGCAGAATTGAAATTGTTTCTTCAATTGTCCTTCCCTGAATTAAGCCCTGACTTGTCTAATGCTGATAGTATTGAAGACATTATGAATTTTGTAGTGAAGAAATGCCGAGTAAATGATATTTCAATAATAAAAACAATTGTTAAACAGTTTAAAATTGCTGAAGCAAAACCACTGATATCAGAATATGAGAAAGAAGTGAAGACAGTTAGTGGATCATTGAAAGATTTCCTTAGCCAGAATCAACCTGAGCATTTTCTCATTTGTGAAACAATTCAGTTTACTTTGGGATGGGAACCAGAGGAGCACTCACTTGATGACATACGTAATCTCTTAGAGGAAGCATTTAAAGAATTAAACAAGAGGATTATCGTACGAAGTATTCATCGTGGGAACTCCATCATTATCATCTGTTATGGTCCACATCATTTACTAGCTGCTCTTCTCTTAGAAGCACAAGACAACCTAACTGTCTTGTTGAAGGAATTCAGTTTAATTAGACTAACCATTGGCCACTACACTGTCTATGATAAAAGGATCAGATACAAAGTATAAGATACTGTAACTGTATGAGACCTTGTTTAATATTATGTACTGATTATAGGTAATGAATAATGAGTGTCTTGCAGAGGAGATTAAACTAGTTGATGGAGAGGAACAAGAACTGAGGACTTTACTTGATTACAAAGAAGGTGTGATAGTTGATCTATTACTCAATTACTCTGTTACTTATACCAATGGTATAGGAT